TCATGTTGGCTCAGGAACTCTGGCATTAAAGTGTACAAGTCATAAAGCTGTCAAGTTACAAGACCCTTGCACCTCTAACCCTTTAGGAAAAAAACTCCCAGGGGTGTTCAAATTTGACAGCTTTAAGACTTGTGGACTTCAACTCCCAGAATTCCAGTCATGTTGACGCAGGAACTCTGGTATTGAAGTGTACAAGTCTTAAAGCTGTCAAGTTACAAAACCCTTGCACTCCTAATCCTTTAGGAAAAAAAAACCCAGGGGTGTTCAAACTTGATAGCTTTAAGACTTGTGGACTTCAACTCCCAGAATTCCTCCTCTTGCTCTTCATCTTGATGATGTGTGGACGGGCGGCGGGAGGGAGCTGGGACTTGTTCTAAATGGCACTGTAGATTTATGGAACCTCTTCTATAGAAGAGGTTAGAACTGGCAGGAACCCATCCCTGATGTATATGTATATATAAAGATAACAGTTCTCCTTGCACATATGTGCTAGTCATTCCCGACTCTAGGGGGCTAGTTGTTCCTGACTTTAGGTATGCAAAAAGAATGTTACAAGTTTCTCTTAATCAGAGATTAAAGGAGTGTGATAACCATATTTTGGAACTTTAACCCTAGGTTTCTATCCAATCCTTCCCTCTTAGTATTTTTTTAAGAAGCAGCCAACAAAACCACTCTATTCCACCAAACTTTTAACCCTATATTTTAAAGCAAGGTGGTAACCCAGATGTTATATAAAACTGAAATCTGAGACTGGGACTAGAAGGTTATGGTCCATTGGAAGTACTCCAAAACCATTTCATTAGGTAGATTTTAGAGTCTCCCCCAGTATACTTGCTGCTTATTTAAGAACAGAGCTAGTCTCCATCATAGTCAGAATATATTTTGAATTGTTGAGGCACTATGAGAAGCTTGAAAACTCTCAAGAATCCCATTATCCAAAAGTCTCTTTTCTCTTGCTAAGTTGGGAACCAATTGACCAAACTTTATCATCCATCTCAAAAATGCACTTCAGATGTAAAACTGTAGCATTAATAAATACATTACTTGTGCTCATTTAGATTTGGACAAAAGTACTTCTAGATACTCAACTTATAACTTCAACCGGGACCAGAATTTGTGTTGTTGAGCACAGTGATTGTGAAGTGAGGCATATACAGTTTTACACTCTTTTTTGTTTTCAATAGTTGTGAATCACTGCAGTTGTTAAATGAATCGTGACTGCTAAGTGAATCTGGCTTCCCTCATTGACTCTGCTTGTGAGAAGTCATCTGGGAAAGTCATAAACAATGATCATATGATCCTGGGGCACTACCACAGTTGAAAATATAGGCTGTTGGAATTTTGATCTGGTGACTAGGAAGATGCTGCAATGGTTATAAGGATGGACCAGATTGATTGTAAATCACCTTTTTTAGTGCTGTTGTAATAGTTCCTAAACAATGGTTGTAAGTTGAGGACTTGTTTTAGGAGCAGGGAAAATCTATGATCTTCCAGTTGTTGCTGAATTAGATTTTGCAGGACCAATTGTGAAGGCTAATGAGAATTGGAGATTAACAATCTAGACAGAGAGTTAGACTTAGAATAACTTTATTGTCACTTTAAATGTACACTAATAGGCATACAGTAAAATGAAATTTCATTGCATATATTCATTGACATGAGGACATTTGGACTAAAATCCTATATTCTGAAGGGAGGTTGTCATATTGTTTCATTAAGATTTTTTTTGCCAAAATTATACTGTGGTTAATAATAATTTCAATCAGCGAATGCAAGAAATTAAGAATACAAAACAGCCTCTTGAAAGAAATTTAATAATATGGTAATATGATAATATGTTTCAGGAAATAGCAAAACAATCATTTATTTTCTTGCTTTTTTAAAAAAAAATCTCTTAATTTGCACAATAAGATTCCTGAGCTTTAAATTAAACTAGCTGTATACTATGGTAGGTTATTTTTCCCGGTTTCAAAATTATCTGTATTCTTCTATGCAATTACACACCCTCCTTTCTCTTTAAAAGGGTTCCTCTCTTCAGGAATGCCTTTAACTAGAGGGTCTTCTCCCGATCTTTCTTCAATATAATTTTTAATTTCTTCAGAACACTTAGACACCTTAAGGAAAATAAGAGAAAACACATTTAAATCTTTTTTATAGAGATAGGAAAGATTCCTTTGATATGCAGAGTTTTTGAAACTAAGGGAGAGAAGAAGGATTTGTTATGTACCATAAGAAGCATAACATATGCATACTGCATTGGTGGGTTATGACCGATATGGGCATACCGGTGCTTGCTGGGAGCACCAGTACCATTCTGGTACTTACTCCGGAGGGCCCACATGCCCGCGCTCCTTACCGGTATTTGAGGTTTTCGGGGCTTACGCACACAGAGCATACGGCACCTGAGTGACGCTCGGCTGAGCAACTAGAGCATCACAGAGGCATCGTGGAGCATCATGGGTGGTAAGTACACACGTTCATGTGGTGGACGCCCGGTTGCACCGTACCAGTTGCAACGGGATCTGGAACCCACCACTGGCATACTGGGTATGTATGAAATAATGTATCCCACAATAGCTTGCATAATGTTTATAATTAATTATTGCATAATAAAATGAACAGCATTCTTTTTTCCCATGTGCTGAATAAAACTCTCTTACTGTTCTGTAAGGATGGAAGTAAGCAGTATTTTTTCATACAAGCACAGTCTATAAGGCTTCTCGTCAATTACCTTTGTAGGAATTCCGGGGCCTGGCAATAATTAGTAGCATTGATAAAGCCAACAGAACCAGGATATAAATTAGCAATGGGGATACATTTCACGCTAATCATTTTTGCCAACAAGAGATATACAGTATAATGCAATATTTAGCATTATGATTTAGGAATGGTGAAAGTCATATGGCATACAAAGCAGAGGTGGGTTGCTTCAGGTTCTCCCTGGATTGAGCGAACCAGTTGTAGCGATGGCAGGAGGCTCCATCCACCCATCTGGACACTTCTGCACATGCCCAAACTGGTAGAAAAAAGATTGGCAACCCACCACTGGTACAAAGATGTGATAAGGTAATCTAAAATATTAAAAGTTCAAGACTTTTTGATACTTAAAAAAGAAAACTTGGAAATTTACATGTCATAAATTTGTTAGCAAGGATTATACAAAAGTAGGATAATACTCTCTGTAGAAGCATTCCAGTTAAAATTTTAATTATGCTGTTTTGGCATGTTGACAATATATGCTGTACATAATATGAATGATTCCAGTACAAGAAGTGCCATACAGAATTCAGGTCATTAAATAATTAAATAAAATAGAAATTAAATGGAAGAATAGAAAGTTTTGCCCTAGTATAACCATTATTTATATGAACTATGGCTATTCTAAAATTTTATTTAAAACACTTTCACTTAAAACTAAGATATCTATTTATCATATGAAGTTGCCTTAAACCAACTTCGTTCAATTCAAATCCATCAGTGGAAATGCTTGGACAATCTTTTATTTGGAAAACAAATTGAGAAGTAATGAGTCTGCTTCAGAAAGTATTTGAGAAAATTAATTTGTTCAAAAAGCTAAGGGAAAATAGTTATTTGATCAGGACTAGCAGAATTGTATTTATTTTACACAGGGTGAAACAATA